AGTCTCTGTCTTCCTCTAATCAGGCTTTGATAGTCTGAGTAAGGATATTAGCCATTAAATATTTAAAGAAAACGCTCAGTATTTTAAATTTTTTGCTTAAATATTAATGACTCAAAGTTTTAATTCCATTGAAACGTGTTGCTGCTGTGGGTTCCTGGCCCTCGGTGCCCTCAGCCCCTCGGGTGGCGTTGTCTCCTTGGTGCCACCAGGACGGGTGGGCTGCGTTTGGGTCGGCTGATGTTGCCCACGTTTTGTCTCCCTGCGGTTGAGGAGGTGGCTTGGGTGCTGGGAATTGAATTGGGCATCTCCCGGGGACGTGACAGCCACCCTGGGCTTAGGTGGGGGGCCTGGCTGAAGGGATAAGAATGAGCTGTGGTGGGTGTAGGATAAGTCAGCTCTCTCTTTCTCACGGCTGCAGTATTCTGGCTGGAACCTGCTGGAAGACGGGTCGATCCGGATAGAGGAGGCAACCGAAGATGCTCTCGGCACTTACACCTGTGTGCCTTATAACGCCCTGGGTACGATGGGCCAGTCTCCCCCTGCCCGACTGGGACTGAAGGTAACTTGCCTGCTAAAATCCTTGCTCTGCACTTGTGTCCTCCCATGGGCCGGTCCTGTGCCGAGAGGAGCTCCTGGGGTCGTGCGGGGATGCTGGAAGCCCAGGCCAAGGCGGTGTGAATGTGTGGGAGCTTTGTGGAGGCATCTTATGCTGTAGTTAGGCTTTTTTAATATGGATTTTGCAACATGCACGTCACTTGTTCTGCCTTCCTATTCAGCCCGATGCTGCAGGGGAGGATGAGGTGGGGTTTTTTTTTCCCATGCTGCTTATTTGGTGATTAATTCTGTGCAGAAACCGAGGTTTTACATTGCTTTTCTGAGCACTTGTTTATGAAGTGACCCGAAGAAGGGCTCTGTGCCCCCAAACTTGTCCACTTTTCCACCCACCTGACTTGGCTTAGCAAAAACCTATTGCCTCTTGCTCTGAGCCCGGTCTCTTACCTGTGCTGAGAAAGGCAAACGCGGGCCCTTGCAAGCATCCTGGAAGGGGAGCAGCAAAGGTGCCGTGTGTGCTGCGGTCAGAGGTTTGCTTCCCACCAGGGCAGGCAAACCCTGAGTGCCCCTGCCTGGAGCAGCTGGAAATTCCCCACCGGAGCAGCGGCACGGCTTTCGGCACAGCCTGGGCCACAGCCGGTGTGTGATAAGCTTTGGTGGCGCTAGTCCAGGGTAGTTTGAGGAAACACGTCCCTGGGATGGCCTTTTTGCCAATAAAACACTTAGCCCTCCTGACCTGGGCTTGGGTTCACGGGGGATTTTAATAAATGGATGATTTGAGTGAGCTTTAGAGATGCTCTGTGCTGCCTGCAGAGCCCGAGGCGTGCTGGGTTCCCTGTGCAGTTCCTGGGGTGGGAGCTGCTGCCTCTTCCTTCCCGGAACAAAAAGTCCTGTGCTTGCGAGCAGCGGTGATTCATGGCATCTCACTGCGGTTCGCGTGATAACGCTTTGAGTATCGCAGACACACACATCCGCCAGGGCGGCTGCATGGTCGACGCAGGTTGATGTCTGATGCGATGTGGGTGGGTTTTTTGGTTTTTTTTTTTTTTTTTTATTAGAGTAAATGACATATTTCCTCCTTAAAACTTCAGTGAGATGCCCTAGTGCAGCGGCCCTTTGGAGAAAAGCTCCCTCCGGGTGTATAATTTGGTGTACCATAGAGCCTCCTTAGCTCCTCAGGCTCTCCGCCGTGGCTTTCCTTGCGATGCCTTGACCTTACCCAACCCGGTGATTCATTTCTTTTGGAAAAGGGCTGGTTTTGGTTGTGGGGAGCCGCTCGCGCGCGGTGTGGGGGTTGGTGTGGGTTGATGCTCCTTGCCTTTTCCCTTGGCTGCAGGACCCCCCCTATTTCACGGTGCTACCAGGCTGGGAGTACAGACAGGAGGCAGGGAGGGAGCTGTTGATTCCTTGCGCTGCTGCCGGAGACCCCTTTCCCATCATCGCCTGGAGAAAGGTACCCGGCCTGCCAGACAAATCTGCAGTGCCTTTGGCTTTTGGTGAATATTGCAGACAGAGAAGCCACACTCTGTCCCGGTAAGAACAAACTGCAGGTACAGCTGCTTCGCTTTGGGCTGAGCCACTGCTGTCCTGTCCCGCAGGTGGGTGGGGGAAGCCCGGCTTGTGGCCACCGAGTACCTTAATCCCGTGAACCTCTCACGGCAGCATCTGCAAAGCTGAGCGCTGCCCCTGCCCCGGCCCCCCTCCTCTTCCTCGCCGGCGCTGCCCTCAGGACACCGTCCCCCTTGCCCGTCTGCAAGGTGGTCACGGCAGGAGGCAGCAGCCCCAGCGATGCTGTTCTTGCGGCACAGAGCTCCCACGGTGGGAGGGGACGTGCCACCGGAGCGTGTCCGGGGGTCTCTTGGCTGCATTCTGCCGAGGGGCTGGACCTGTCAGCAGCTGCTTTGCTGCCCTGTGATTCCGAAGACCCTGGGAGGAAGCTGTTAATGATGCTGGACCGGACATAATGATTTCAAGATGTCCTGTTCTGTAGAGCAGGGAAGGGTCCAGCGTGGTGGCACAGCCTGGGAGCAGCCAGGGCTTTCCAGTCCTCCTCCAGCCTTCCCTTTGCTTCCCACCTTTGCTGCTCCCATAGGAAAGCCACTGTGTAGGGGACCTCCTGGGCTCTTTGTCCCCCTGTCAGGATCTTCTCTCCAAGCCTCCCATCCCCTTCTTAGGGCTCCTGAGAGTGAGCGGGGTCCCTGCGTCGCCCCAGTGGGCACCGTCCTCAGTCCTTGTGCTGTGAGATGCTGGATCTCTTTGAGTTCCCAGCACGAGGAGGACCATGACTTGCACAGATTGCAAGCGACCTACCTAAGATTTGTTGGCCGTTTAATCTTTTTCTCCATCTTATTTTTCTTTCCCTCCCCTCACCATTCTTATTCAGGTTTCTTTTCAACCCCTTTTGTGCCTTCTGGCGGTTCTCCTCATGTCATGGCTCTGGGCTTATCCCCCCCGACTCCAGTTGGGGCTGGCTTGGGCTGGGCTCAGTTTCCAAGTGGCTGAAGCAAGCTCCCTCGCTCCCCATCAGCCCACCAGTGCTGACCAGTCTCTTGAAGGACTCCTGAAGACTTGGGCTTGGCACTCTGGTAACCCCACGTGCCCGTCCGCTCCTCTGCTCATCCCGCATGGCATCGAACCGTGGGTCCTGGTGTCGATCGGCAGAGAGCCCTGCATGAAGAACAGCTGAAGAGGACTCAGGACAATGTGGGATTTGCACAACTTTGGCTGATGGGCGTAGACATGAGTTGTCCCAAGATTGATTTTTCTCTGCTCGGCTTGAGAGCTCCCGGGCACCTCCACGCACGCCATCCTCCCACATCCCCACGGGGCCCTTGCTGCCCAAACCTCTGATGTGAAGGGTCCTGCCTCCCCTCTGCCGCTGGCTGAGGGGCAGTTTGGGCACCTCCTGGGCGGCGGGTGTTTGCCGGGGGTGGCCAGTGCACCTTCCTCGCAGCGGTTTCAGCTTTGGATGCTGGAGGTTGAGCCCTGGCGCAGGGCTCGGTGGCCGTGCGAGCGCTATGGGGTTTTCCACTTGTGTGTGAGTGCTGAGCATCAGCCTCCCTGACGCATGCCTCTTGCGTTGCCCCGGTGTCCCCTGGGCCGTGCAGGTAGCTTAGTGACCCCGCTGCCGCCTCGCCCGGCCCCGCAACCTGCTTCTGAGTCATGTTTATTTTTTATTTTTTTTTTTTCTCTCTTTGCCCGGCTCCCCCTGCTCCTTGCCCAAGGTAGGGAAGCCCAGCAGGAGCAAGCACAACACACTGCCCGGCGGCACCCTGCAGATCCGCTCCCTCGGCAAGGACGACCACGGCGAGTGGGAGTGCGTCGCCACCAACGTCGTCGCAAGCATTACTGCCAGCACCCACCTTACCGTCGTAGGTACGGGCAGGGCAGGAGAACGGGTCCTCGGGGACGGTCGGTCCCTGGGTTAGGGTCCCCTGAGCATGTTGCAAGGCAGGAGGTGGGGATGCTTCCCGCGAAAAGCAGTGTCTCCTTTAAATCTTGCTTACCAGCCTTTTTCTGCTGTTATTTTGGCCACCTGTGCCCACAGCTGTCCTGCTGCTATTTCTAGCAGAAATCGCAGGTGGCTTTTGCTTGGCGCAAGAGGAATCCCCTGGAATCACAGCTGGGAGCAGCCCCCTTTGCTGGCCAGCGCGGGGTCTTGCTCCCCTCCAACCCCTCCCTCTCCCTCCGCAGGCACAAGCCCTCACGCCCCGACCAGCGTGCACGTTGTGGTCGCCATGACCTCAGCCAACGTCTCCTGGGAGCCCGGCTACGACGGTGGATACGAGCAGACTTTCTCAGTTTGGTACGGCCCTCTGTGAGTCATCCCGGCATGCTTTGCTCTCTGCTTCTTTTCCTTCCCAGCCCACCCGAGCTTCGAGCAGTGGCGGGGAGGGGGGAGGAGGGTGGGGAGGGCAGCGTGCCCGGCTCCGTGCCTGTGGGCATTGCGGGGCTGAGCTCCCGTTTGGTGCCTTGGAGAGGTGGGGGGGTGGTGGGATCACGTAGTTCCCGTGTTTCCTCTCCCAGTACCTCCGTCTGCCCCAGCAGGTTTTGTTCTGCTTATGGTGCGAAGGAGGCGCTTTGCATTCGTGTAACTTTGCCTCTGGCATCTCATTTCAAGATAAACTGTTTATGAAGCTTAACAGCCAGGGAGAGGATGGAAAATGCAACCTTTTTATAGTGTGTGTCCTGGAAGAGCTGTGACTAAGCAGAAATGATCCCTCCTTTCTCTGCGGCTCCCTGGTGGTGGTTAAATCCCGGCTGAGTTCACAGCCAGCCGCTGCGAGATGCTGGCCGGCGCTGAGCCTGGCGGGGCTCTGCTCCCACCGCTACCCAAAACCGGCGGGTGCATCCCACCTTCCCGCAGCGGGGCTGCCTTTCCCCAGGGGTAAGGGAGGGTGAAACGGAGCTGCAGCGAGGTCGGGATTTTCTCTGGGCTCTGCACTTGTCTTCCTCTTCTGAAGAGCAAACGTGGGAGGGATGGCGCCTTCCCTTCCCAATTCTGGACTTGGCGTTCTTCAGCCTTTCTTCTCACTCTCTCTTTCCTTCCTTGCCTTAATTTGCCCTGATGGAGACTGCTGATAGAGCGGAGATAGGGTAGACGCTGCCTGTAATGATTTCTGCGCTGCTCCAGCCTGAGGCTGGAGAGTCACGGGGTGGGGCTGGGCAGCCTGTCAGGAGATGGGAAAACGAAGGAATGGAGCGAGCAGAGGGGGAAAATGAGGGAGCGAGCGGAGTGGTGCAGACCTTGCTGTGATGCAGACGTCCTTGGGAAGGAGCGGTTAAACCTCTCTGCCCTGGGGATGCGGCTCACCTTGGAGGGAGGCGGCAGCTGCTGCTGCTCTTGCTCCACAGCCTGCCGTTGGGTTCCTGCCTCCGCGAGGCTCTTCCACGTCCCCTTGCCTTAGGGAATTTACAGGGTGCTGTGGGGACCTGGGATAGAAAGGCAGAGACCTGTCTTGCCCTGGGACCAGGGGTCTGGGATGGCGCTGGGTCAGCCGGTGCTGCCTGGAGAGGTGGCCGTCCGTGCGTTTTCCTCCCTGCTGTAGCTGTGGGGTGCTCAAGCAAAATGTGGCTTCGCCTCCTGTGGAGCTCACGCTCTCCTCCTGCTTCTGCGGTTGTTGATGCTGGAAATGTCAAACCCCGCTCCCCAGGGCTGGCCAGGGCCACCACAGCATCCCGCCGGCATCCGTGCTCTCCCGTCCCTGGGGGCCACCACAGCATCCCGCCAGCATCCATGCTCTCCCCTCCCTGGGGGCCACCACAGCATCCCGCCAGCATCCATGCTCTCCCCTCCCTGGGGACCACCACAGCATCCCGCCAGCATCCGTGCTCTCCCGTCCCGGGGGGCCATCGGTGCTGCCTTCACCCTCTGCTCTCCCCACCCACAGCCCCTCACCGTGGTAGCACTGGGGAGAAGGGATGCGAAGGCGCTGGGGCTAAATGCCGCAGGGCAACCCGCTCGGGGTGAAGGGCTGCTCCGCTGCCCTCTGTGCCTCCGCTGCAGTGCCGGGGGACCCTGGGGGCTGCAGGCCCAGCTGGAGCCGTGCTGGTACAGAGGCTTTCATGCCCGTGGCCGCTTGGTTTGGTGGAGGCACCCTGCGCACGCGTGGCTCTCCGCCGACTTGCTCGTTGCCATAGCTTGCTGCTTCTCCTGCCTCGCCTTTCGCTCCCTTTACCCCCCCGGTGTTGCTTGTCTTTGCTCCATCTTTTACTTCCTCTGCGGTGGATTTACCTGGCTGTATGCCGGTGGCTACAGATATGCCCACTTACCTATGCAGAATAGACCGTCTGCTGTAATCCTTCCCAAATCCTCTGCGGACACCACGGAAACGTGCAGCCAAGGGCTGGGACTTTCCCTAGAGCCATTTCTCCAACATGAGCACCGATACTTGCAATATCGCTGCGGCGCGGTGCCGCTGCGTCGGGACGTGGGGCTCTTTCACCGTGGTGCTTCCCGGCTTGTGGAGGTGGCTGCATCCTCGTGTGTGCTGGGGTCGCACTGGGACAGCTCTGGGAGCTTTTTTTGCCCTGGGTTTGTGGGTTAGACCCCGGCAGAAAGGCTGTGTCCTGTACTCCCTGCAAATGCCTCTGCTCCGCTGCCAAAGCCCCGGTTATGCCCTGGGGCTGTGCTGGCAGCCTCCGACTTGTGCAAATATGGCAAAAATGGTGATTTAGTTAAATGTCTCTTGTGGGATTGCATGTACAGGGCTACAGATGAGGGAAAACTTGGCTCTGGCTCGGGAGCTGTCGAGGTATAAATGGGAACAGGGCCCATCTCCTGCTCCAGCCATCCCCTCTGCAGTGCTCACCAGAGTAAAAATGTGCCAGCTTCCACTTTTGCCCGTGGGAATCGGATGGAGAGCGGGGCTGTCGGCATTGCTTTTGTCCCTGCCCCTGCTCAGAGGGTGCAGGTGGTGCACGGCAGAGGGGACGGCTGGTGGCAGTGTCCATGCGAGCTGGGGGATTGCTGGTGTGGCACAACGGGACGGTGCCCTGTTCCTGGCAGTCCTCGCCTGCACCGTCCCCGAGCCAGCTCTCGGGTGGCGAGTGGCTGCCCCATGTCCATACACATCGCTGCTGTCAAACCAAACCATTGCTCGGGAAAGCTCCATTTTTCGCTCGGGAAGTTAATGCTGCCTCTTTGGCCCCCCTTTTGAAGGCACCTTCCCTGAGGATGCTCCCTTCTCTCTCGGCAGGATGAAGAGAGCCCAGTTTGGCCCCCACGACTGGCTCTCTCTCCCTGTGCCAGCTGGTTCCAGTTGGCTACTGGTGGATACCTTGGAACCGGAGACTGCGTACCAGTTCAGTGTCTTGGCTCAAAACAAGTTGGGTACCAGCTCCTTCAGTGAGGTGGTCACTGTGAACACTCTAGGTAGGTCCTCCTTGGGCACCAGGGGAGGAGGGGGAAGGAATTCAGGAGGTCCCTGGGGAGAGGTGGCCCTTTGCCTTGGTCCGTGTGTCCTATCTATTACGGTTAGACTTGATGATCTTAAAGGGCTTGTCCAACCTAAGCGATTCTATAATTCTATCTGCTGGGGAAGGAGGTGGTGATCAGCAGCAGTAGTTTTCCAGCCACATAGAAGACGGTTCGTGGAGGGTCTTGGATGAAGCTTGTAGACTTTGCTGGATGCATGAGGCTCCTGAAAGCTTGTCCTAAGAGACAGCGTGGGAGAGCTGTACTGTACCAGTCACCTTTCAGATCTTCCTTAAGTTCAGCTGGGGTCAGGAGGTATTAATAGAGCGCAGAACCACTTGTGCGCAGACACAAAGGGCCTCGCGCTGGTACCTGCCTTGCTGCTGTGGGAGGAAGCAGGAGGTTTTCTAACGCTGTGCCCCTTTTCTTGGAATCACTGCGTCATTAGTCCCCTGCTTTTTGGAAAGCCACTTTTGTACCTCTGAGATAAGCAAGTGCATGCCCAAGACATGCCCTAAACTCTCCCAGAAGGTGGGAACTGCTGCAGGGGTCGGTCGGCTGCCGATGGGGCACGCGTGGGAGAGCATCCTCTGCGCTTCCCATCTCAAAGGTGTCCCTGTCCCATCTGCTCTGTCTCCAGCATTCCCTGTAACAACTCCAGAGCCTCTGGTGTTGGTTACCCCACCGAGGTGCCTAACAGCCAACCGGACACAGCAAGGCGTCCTCTTGTCGTGGCTTCCTCCCGCTAACCACAGCTTCCCCATTGACCGCTACATCATGGAGTTCCGCGTCGCGGAGAGGTGGGAGATCTTGGATGATGGTATCCTGGGGACGGAGAACGAGTTTTTTGCCAAGGACTTGTCCCAGGTGAGCAGGAGCTGCCCACGCCACACCTCTGGTGTTGCACTGTCTGCTGCAGCTCTGGGGAAGCTTTTGGGGTGGCTTGGTCCCTGTGCCGGGGTCTTCAAGGAGCTGGGCAAGGTTGGAGGCTGCGGTGGGGGGGACCTGACGGATGTTGCATTGCTGGAACATGTCCAGAAGAGAGCCACAAAGTTGGGGAGGGGTCTAGAGCACAAGGCTTATGAGGAGCGGCTCGGGGAGCTGGGGGGGTTCAGGCTGGAGCAGAGGAGGCTGAGGGGAGCCCTCATCGCTCCCTACAACTGCCTGAGAGGACGGGGGAGCCGGGGGGGTCGGGCTCTGCTCCCAGGGAACGGGCGATGGGACGAGGGGGAATGGTTTGAAGTTATGCCAGGGCAGGTTTAGGTTGGACATTAGGAAAAACTTCTTCACCAAAAGGGCTGTCAGGCTCTGGAATGGGCTGCCCAGGGAGGTGGTCGAGTCCCCATCCCTGGGGTTACTTAAAAGAAGGATAGATGAGGTGCTGAGGGACAGGGTTTAGTGGTGGGATGGCAGGGTTAGGTTAACGGTTCGACTCGATGATCTTAAAGGTCTTTTCCAACCAAAGTGATTCTATGATTCTATCTGCTTGGTGTTGCAGGACACCTGGTACGAGTTCCGGGTCCTGGCGGTCATGCAGGATCTCATCAGCGAACCCAGCAACGTTGCTGGCGTGTCCAGTACAGGTAAGGGTAGTTTCTTCATCTAGCCCCTGCTGTGGGAGCACCTCTGCTTCTGCAGGTGCCTGAGCTAGCGCTCAGGTCGTGCATCAGCACGTGCTTACAGCAGCAATGGCTGGTTTTGTGCTTTTGCCTGAGACGCCTGGGCTGTGAGCTGGGCTGATGGGCACACGGTTACGGCCGGTGTCCCGGGCACGCTGCTGGCCCCGTGCTGCCTCCCGATGCAAACGGGCCAGTGGCACTCGGAGTGGGCGAGGACAAACCGCCCCATTTAGTCCTTCCCGCCGAGCACAGTGTTGTCGGGAGTCCGCTGGTGCGGAGCGGCAGCACATCTTGGCTCTGCGGGGTGCCCGGAGAACAAAGCTCCTACCGAGCGGGCACTGCGCAGTGTGGAAATGGGAATGAAAGGTGCAGGGAGGGAAACGTAGCACTGCAGTGCAGAGTCCAAGGGGAAAAAAAAAAAAAGCTTTGCAACGTGAGACTGCAACACGCTGCAGCTCGTGCATGTACCCTGCCTCCCGGTCCAGCTCGGAGGATGCTCCTTGGGCAAGGGATGGGTGAGGGTATGTGATTGCGATGGGCGAGGGCAAGAGGAGATGGGGGATGCGGTGAACCCTGCTTTTATGGGCTTTTATGGCTCTGGTGGAAAAACCAAGGAGCCACCCAGCTCTGCTGCACGCAGGAAGGCAGCGGTCTCTCTCTGCCCCCAAGTGGTGCCAGCGCAGTGCGGAGAGCCCGCTCGCTGCAGGCTGCCCGCTCGCCTGCCCTTGCTCCTCTCGCACTATTTCTCTTGATGGGATTTGGCAGTGCCCGCGGGGTGTGCGTGCGCCCCGGCCCCAGGCAGCTGCCCTCCCTGGCTGGTGCTCCCAGCAGGCGAAGGCGCCTGACCCTGGGTCTGCCATCTGCACGTGGCCAGGGCTGAGGTCTGCTGGTGGTTCGGATGCGCTTGTGGTTAGTGAAGGGGGTGCGATGCGGGTTTGGAGCCCGGCTTTTATTGAGGAGCTGAAGTATGTTGCACCGAAGCATGGGGGTGAACACCTTACACTGCTACAGCCTGAGCTGCAGTGGGTTGTTGGGCTGGGAGATAACGGAATCCCAGCATGGCAAGGGTTGGAAGGACCCTCAGGAGCTCACCCAGTCCCACCCCCCTGCTCAAGCAGGTTCTCCTAGAGCATGTTACACAGGATGGGCGGGCTTTGAATATCTCCAGAGAAGGAGACTCCGCAGCCCCCCTGGACAGCCTGGGCCAGGGCTCGGACACCCTCCAAGTCAAGAAGTTTTTCCTCATATTCAACTGGGACCTCTTGTGCTTCAGTTTGTGCCCATTGCCCCTTGTC